GGGCGGCGAGGAGCCGAGTCAACGTCGACGTGGCGGCGGTCCTGGACGGGAGAGGGGAAAACAAGAACAGAAAGGGAAAGGAGGAGCGGGCGGGGGAGGGGGGGGGGAGGAGCAAGGTGCAGGCGGGCAGTACGTGAAAGGAAAGGCGAGAGAGGGGGGTCACCAGAAGGGGGATGGAGCCCGGGCCCACGGCGCCTGGGCGATCCGGGAAGAGGCATTTTCACTGGGACCCGAGGACAGGGGGAGAGTCCCAGACCTCGGCGCGTCCCGTTGGTCACTAAGGCTCGAGGCACGTCGGGGAGATAGAACCCACGGTCGGTGTCCAGGCGGGACCGTTGTTTCTTCCACCGGAAGGCGCAGCCACACGCTCGTCGCCTGTGTGACTCTCGACCCCCGCCCCCCTCTCTCGCCTGCGCCCTTTTCCCCCAAACACGAAATGTCGCCCGCCGCACGGGGGAGAGACCCCAACGCAGGGGGCAGGGGACATGTCGCGCTGAACCGCCCCCCCCCCCCCCCGAAGGCCATCGGCCCTAGGGTGCGATCGTCGACGCCCCGAGAAGAAGAAGCGTCTTTTGGGCAGGGGCGCGGGGAAATAGACTGAGCTTCGGTGAGAGTGCTGGTTGTCAGCCTGCTGAAGGGCACGCCGAAGGTGGGACCGCCTTGCTGGGACTTTAAATGGACAAGAAATAACATTAATTGTCGATGTCAGGACTGGGCATGTGCCATCGGGGGCCGGGTGACCGGACCAGCTGATCGGACGGTCGGGCGCCCGCGGCCCTGGGGGCGGCCGTCCGGCGGCCGGACCACCCAGCCCAGGGCCCGGAAACGCGTGTCCCCCGGTGTCGGGGATCCTTCATATCCTCCGCCGTGCAAAGCTCCGGCGTCCAGCCGGGCCTTCCTGGGCACTTGTCAGAGGGGTCGTAGGACTGTGAGGGGGGCGAATTGCGCGCTGGCCTTGTGGCCCCAGCCTGGGGCCCTCCGATCGTCGGGAGTTATCGTCCCCAGCCAGGCGCCCCCCTGCGAGTCGGCGGGGGGGGGGGGGGGGGGGGGCGAAGACTCCCGGGCTCCCTCCCCCCTCCCTTCTGTGAGGTGCCAGGAAACAAAGATCTACCCAAGGGGCACCGCACTCGGGGCTCGAGCACGATCCGTTGACAAAACAGGCCCGGCCCCCTCCTCCATCCCCTTTTCTCGCCCTCCCCCCTCCCTGTCCTGATTCCGTCGCCTCCTCTCCTCTGTATGCCCATCCAACATGTCCACCAGCCCTCTCTCTCCCCCTCTCCCTCTCTCCCTCCCTCCCACACACACACACACACACACACCCTGGCTTCGCGCGCCATCTGACCAGGCCCCATGCTTCTCCTACCGACTGGCCACCAACGGCGATCGCTCTCCCATGTGGAATAGCTCGCGATCCGCACCCGGACCCCCTGGAATTATCCCCGAGAATCCCCCCCCCCCCTCCTCCTCCCCATCGCCTCCTATCTGTGTCTGTGCTTGCACGTGTATGAGCGCATAACTTGCCCCTGCCCCACCTCGTGTCCCACCTTTTATGTCTGGTATCCTCTGTCCCCCACCCCCCTTCCCCCTTTCATCGCAAACGCACACATTAACCGCCCTTTCGCTCTTTTGTTCCACCTGACCCCATGATACCTTCCCCCTGCTTGCCCCCCTCTCCACCGGCTCATCCTCCTCGGCCTCATCGCCCCCCTTGTCGGATGAGAGCGAACCCGGCCGGGGGCATGACTTCGATGCATTTGACTTCCTGGAAGCCGACGGCCCGGCCGAGCTGCTGGACATCGGCGAGGAGGTCCCCCGCGTGTGTCCCCGCCCACCCCCCCCCCCCCCCCGTTCCCCCCCCCCCCCCCCCCCCCCCCTCCTCCTCTCCCTCTCGACTCCGTCCGACTGTCGTCGGCACAGAATCTAGTGCCATGGACAATTCGATCAAGCTCTTCGCCGGCAACTCCCATCCGGAGCTGGCCAAGCAGGTGGCCCGCCGCCTGGGCATCGCCCTGAGCCAGGTGAAGGTCTGCAAGCTGCCGAACCAGGAGACCTCGGTTACGCTGGAGGAGTCCGTGCGTGATGAGGACGTGTTCATCCTGCAGTCCGGCTGCGGGGAGATCAACGACCACCTGATGGAGCTGCTCATCTTGATCAACGCCTGCAAGACGGCCTCCGCCCGGCGTGTGACCGCCGTGGTCCCCTGCTTCCCGTATGCTCGCCAGGACAAGAAGGACAAGAGTCGCGCGCCGATCACCGCCAAGCTGGTGGCCAACATGCTGATTGTGGCTGGTGCCGACCATGTCATCACCATGGACTTGCATGCGTCCCAGATTCAGGGCTTCTTCGACATCCCGGTGGACAATCTGTACGCCGAGCCGGCGGCCATTCGTTGGATTCGCTCCAACCTGGATGTGGCCAACTGTGTCATTGTCTCGCCTGATGCTGGTGGTGCAAAGCGGTGCGCATTCGGCCGGGCTGCTTGGCGTCCCCCCTCCCCCCAGGGAAGAGCTGCATTCTTTTCTGTTTCCTTCCTTCTTTCTTTCTTTTTTCTGCCCCCCCCCCGCATTGGCACATACCCGCAAGCTGACTTTGCATTTTCCGCCTCTTCCCCCGGGCCTTTTCCCTCACATAGCGCTACCTCCATCGCCGACAAGCTTGACGTTGAGTTTGCCCTCATTCACAAGGAGCGCAAGAAGGCCAATGAGGTCAGCAAGATGGTCCTGGTCGGTAATGTCAGCGGCAAGATCGGTGCGTGCCACCTTCTCTCTCCCCCTCTCTCCCCTTCCCACCTACACCTCCCTGTGCCGACATGCACACCTCCCTGCACAGCCCACATGCACGCTGACCACACTCCATCGCCCGCCACAATCAGCCGTCCTTGTGGACGACATGGCCGACACCTGTGGGACCCTGATCATGGCCGCGGACACCCTGCTGGAGAGTGGTGCTCGAAAGGTGTATGCTCTGGTGACCCATGGCATCTTCAGTGGCAATGCCGTGGAGAAGCTGGCCAAGTCCCGCCTCGAGGCGGTGGTCGCCTCCAACACCATCCCCCATTCGGAGAAGCAGCTTGAGTGCTTCCCCGATGCCACCGAGGACAACCCCCACCCGGAGAGTAAGATCCGCACGATCGACGTCAGCTCCGTCCTGGCCGAGGCCATCCGGCGAACCCACAACGGCGAGAGCGTCAGCTTCCTCTTTGCCAACGACGTCAGCTAATGGCGGGGCGGGGGGCCAATGCGGGGGTGAGGGCGGGCGCCTTCTTTTTGTTTCCGTCACCGCTGGCCATTTGCTGGTATGTGCTGGCGCCTGGTCCGCGGATGCCTTGTGTGCCTCTCCAACTCCACCCCCTCCCCCTCCCTCTCCCTCTCCCTTGTATCCTCCCTGTAAGTGTGCTACTTGGCGCTTGAGGGAGAGAGATCGAGAGAAAAAATGTGAAAGGCAACCTCAAAATATACTTTTCTGTCCTCTTCCTCCTCCTGGACCTGCCTCAGATCGTGCGCCCTTTTCGAGCAAGCGGCGGGGTATCATCAGTAAAGAGTGTGTCTTAGTATGCGCATGATAGTGGGGAATGGCATTTCGTGGTATTCAGTCGGGCAAATCTCTCCCATTGGAACATTGGGCCGGGGCGTGCATCACAGAGAGGACTCTCTTATTTCTTCTCTGCCGCCCATCTCCGGGGGGAACAAGCGAGCACGCACGCGCGGACAAGGTTGAAGCCGCCGAGGAGCAGGAGGAGACGAAAGCGGCCAGCTTGCCGATGTCGCGGAAGCCGGAGAATCGACCGACCCAGTGGGGGGGAGGGGGGGGGAGCAAGCCATTTCGGGTTCCCCCGGGCCTTCCGGGGCTGCCGCGACCCAGCCCCATATAACGGCGAACGGCACCAGCGCTGGATTGCCCGATATGCGCCCGTGTGCATACATGCACGCGAGGGGCCCGGCGCGAGGAGAGATGGGCCGGAAAACCCGGGGAGGGGGGGGGGGGAAGACGAGAGAAGGGCAGGACGCGGTCGCCGGGCCCGCGGGCCGCCCCCAACGCCCGAAAATGGGCCTGGCAAATGTGGGTGGCGACGGACTTGAGGGCATCCTCCCCGGCGGCAAGGGCCGCGGGGCTCTCAGCCCTCCGGAGCGAAGACATTCCAATGTTATGAAATATGCTCAGGTGAAATCCCCCCTCGAAACCAGCGAGGCTGCAAAAGAGTGCGGCCGTGGAATAAAAAAAGGCCCAATATATTGAAGCCACAGACATGCGAGCCTCTCTCGGTGGGTCTGGCGGAACCTGGCGATAGCACCTACATGCGCCCGCCCCCGGGCCCCAGCTTTGGAGTTGTCGGTGCCCTGCCCGCGGCTTCCCTGGGGCTGGGCTCCCGGCGGGCAAGGGTTGCCCCGTAACAGGAACAACACTCGGGGTGCATTCCCCCCCCCCCCGCCCGCCCCCGCCCCCTCGCCCTGCTGCCTCTCGCCGCCTTCAGCCTTGTTACGGGGCGCGGAGAGGCCGCTGCCTGTGGCCTCGGCTCCCCTCTCTTAGGAAGCCGGCAACAATCGGCAACTCTCGAGGGAGGGCAGCGAGCGACGACACCCTCTCGAGCTCGGTCGGGGGGGACACCTTTTTGTTAGACCGAGAGCCGGGGCGGAGGGTGAGGGGCGACCTGCTGTGGCGCGCCCGACCAAGCTCCCCCCAGCGCTGCTCTGCCCATACCTGAACTGGGCTTCGCATTCAGACATATCCCCACACACGCTCCCTCGCACGGGGCAAACTGGTCACCCCTACCCCAGCCGCAGGGCGGAAGGACAGGCCAGACGAAGAGAATGAGGGGCAGGCCCCCGGCCCCGCCCCCGTTGTCCTCCCGGCCGGCGTTTGGGGGCGGTTTTTCGGCCGGCCAAAACAACATCACCCCCTGGTCTCTGGCACACACACAAAGTCAGCTCCCTAGCCGTCTTCGTTTTCTTTCTCTCTCTCTCCCCCCCCCCTTTCGCGGACACCTCGCCATCATGCCCGTACGCCGTGTCTCCCCCTCGGCGTCGCTTCCCCCCTGCCTCCCCTCGCCCCCTCCCTTCGCCCCCGATGCCCCCTATTCCTGCCTCGTCTGCTGGCGCCAATGGGCCATATGCCTGCTGTGAAGCCCCCTCCCAGAGGCCCTTGCCTCCCTCAACATCTCCCCCCGTCCCCGCCAGACACGACACGCGCATGAAGACGCCTGTCGCCCTTTGCTTGCCACCGCCGGCCGCCGCCGCCACCGCCGCCGCCGCCGCCGCCGCCACCACCATCAAGCTGACCCTCCCCCCCCCCCCTTCGCGCCCCCTCTGATGCACCTGCACAGGCCTACCACTCCTCCTTCAACGCTGTTTCGACCGAGGCCCACTGCCAGGTCGTCGGCAACTTCCCCCTGCTCCCTCTGACCACCTCTTCCCGTGGCCCGGCCCCCTCGAACCCCGGTGCGCTACCTCTCCTGCCCCGCCTGCTCGAGCTCACCTCCAGGGCCAGTGATCGCCCGGTTGCAGAGACTGACCTCCCTCTCGCCCTTCCCTCCTCCCCATTGCCCCGCGGCGGGGCGGGTCATCCAAATCAGCCGGCCAGATGGACATCGTTGACGAGGCCATCTCCATCTTCCGCGCCAACGTTTTCTACCGTAACTTCGAGTTCCAGGGCAACGCTGACCGCGCCCTTTGCTGGATCATTCTCTACATCTCCGACTGCCTGAACGTACGCCGCCACCGGCACACACTCGCAGCTCCTCCTCCTCCTCCTCCTCCTCCCGCCCCTCTTTCTCCCCGCCGAATGCATCTTCACCCACTGACGCCCCCCCCCCCGCCCCCCTTTACCTGCTCCCCTCGCCGCCAACAGATCATTCAGAAGTCCTCTTCCAAGATCGATGCCAACAAGCGCCTGCTCACCGCCGCGGCTGACGCCAACTTCGCCATCCCCGGCGACGGCAACTTCGTCTTTGGTGCCCTCTACCAGAAGCCGGCCTCTCCCTCCGATGCCAACCTCCTCCGCCAGTACATGTCCCAGCTTCGCCACGAGGTCGGCACTCGCCTGGTTTCCATCGTCTATGGCGATGCCGATGTCCCGAGCAAGGTGCGCACACATCCGTCCCCGGTGGCCGGCTGCCCGGAGCATGCCAATCCCCTTCCATCCCCCGCCTGTATACCCCGCTGGTGCTGACCTTCCGCTTTCTATCCCTCTCTCTCCCCCCCCCCTCGTTCTCACACAGTGGTGGATGTGCTTCACCCGCCGCAAGTTCATGAACAAGAGCCTGTAAGAAGGTTTGCACAACGGCGCGCGCTTATGCAGGCGCATCACACCATTCCCCCTCATTCCCGCGCATACACACGCACACCCTCGCCTTTGAACCGTTGTACTGTGGCTGGCCGTAGCTACTTCCGCATCAAATACCCACCCCAGAGAGAGGAAGCCTTCCGACATGTTTCCGTGCAACACACATTCCTCCACAACCACACACACACGCACGCACACACACACAACGCACATGCGTCCATATGACCGGGTGATCGCGCACGCAGGGGCCTCTCGGGCGGCACCTCACACTAGTTCTCACGCGCGAGCAGTCCCCTGTGGAGGGGCCCCCTCCACGCCGCGCGCGTCCTCCCCCCTCTCCTCGCCAATTCTCGCTCCTTTTCAAAAATAAAGCCCCCACGCACACAAGCGCACACGTCTCCCCCGGCTCCCCCCCCCCCCGGAGCATCCGAAGGCACATTGGAAACTGTGGTCTAAGATTTTATTTGGATTGCTTTTTTTTTCTTGGCATTCTCAAGATCCATGCATTTTGCGCACAGACGCCCTTCGGCGCCGGCACAAACACTACATCACCTTGCAGTTGGCCTGTCCGGGAGGGCCGGTCGCGGAGGTGGGGGCTCCCCTTCCACGGCTGGCCTGAGGCCCACCGAGGGCCATTTGTGACCGGCAATCGCGCCCCGTGCCGGGGGCTGGTCCCCGGGAGGCGGATTGTCCAGCGCGCCGTGACGTGCCAGCCGCCAGGCAAGTGTGTACCTCGGGAAGTCTGAGGAATGGTCAGAACAGAGGGCGATATGTCAGGGGGGAGGGGGGGACGGATGCAAGGGGGCGGAAGTATGCCCAGCGACGGGCCAGTGGGAGGGGCACGCACCGATGGCTGACACAGAAGGACTTGCGGCACTGCCGACACTCAAACTGGGGGGATTTGCCGCGGCAGGCGGGGAACGGGCAGACCGTGGTGCCCGGGCGTCGGGTGGGGGTGTCCGCTAGTGTGGGCATGGCTGGGCGGGAGCGGCCCTCACGACGGAGACGAGCCTTGTCGGAGGTGCATCGATGTGCGTCGTAGGAGAAATGCACGGAGCTAGGGGGGGGGAGTCAGGGGAGAGCGGGG